AGATCTGGGCACCATGGCAGAGCAGGCAACTCAGGAGGCCATGGCGGATCAGGGGACTCAGGAGGCCATGGCGGATCAGGGGACTCAGGAGGCCATGGCGGATCAGGAGACTCAGGAGGCCATAGGGGATCTGGCAGTTCGGATCAGGAGACTCAGGAGGCCATAGCGGATCTGGCAGTTCGGGGTGCCATGCCGGATCTGGCAGACTCGGAGGCCATGGCGGAGCAGGCAGACTAGGAGGCCATGGCGGCGTAGGGAACTCAGGAGGCCATGGCGGAGCAGTTAGGACAGGAACAGGAAGGACCAAATATGGGCATAAACACTGGGACACAGGGAGCACATGGGGAACAAAACACAACACAAGTCTGACACGCGCAGTATCTAGCAAGAGAAAAACGAATACACGTCTTAAAATGGCTGATCCACAAATATACACAGACGCAATTACAGATTCATTTTTATCTAGCAGTGTTAGTCCTTTACCGAACTAATGATGTTATCAATAAAATGTAGCCAGGAATGAAAATATATCAAAATTACATGCATTTGTAATAATATGCAAATACGTCCTTTTCCACCTCTCTCTCGAGCGCGTGCTCTAACGATTAACTCTGAAAGTGAAAGACGCCTAACATTAACTTCACAAGTGAAAACTGCAAATATAACAATATATGATAAAATAATGAAAAAATAATGAGCAACTTTACCTTTCTGAGGTCAAATTGAAAAAAAAAATAGGTGCATCACGTCGGTTAATCCAGCTGAGAAAAAATACAGCTCAAAATTACTGTATGATTCACAGGAAAATATCATTTTACTGTAAAATTTCCCGCTATTTTAATTTGACCAATGATGCTTTGCAGATTTACAGCAAAATACTGTACACATGGATTTGTTCATTTTACAGTAATAATGCTGTGAAAACTACAGAAATGTTTTACAGTGAGGCAAATAAAAGTACAGTCACAGGTATTTATTGCAAAAACCAACCATAAAAAAGCAGTATAAAAGCATTATAAACAAGTCGTGTTGCATTGCAAGTCTACTGAAGGCATGCAATATCTTTATGCGAGGAAGAGAGTAAAACATAAGGTTTTAATCGCCGAAAATGATCCCGCTCCCTTAACGAGCTCACATCACATCTCATTCAAAAAATACTCCCGTCCCGTAGAATGACGCAATCGGTCACGAGACTATCGGTGCGTTCCAAACAGGATATATCGCCCTCCGAAGGACACTTCGGAGTGAAAACAATCATGGCCGCCATATTGAAGTGTCCTTCCAAACCGAAGTGCTCAAAACTGGCCACTTCAAAGGGCCCTTTGGAATGAAGGATTTCAAAGAGTACAACTGATGGACACTTCGGGCCCCCATGATCCTTTCCACAGATGCTTTGCATGATGACGGCGCCTCCGTATGGGCTAGGGGTGATGACGCAGAAGGGCACTTCAAGAAACAGTTGTTTGGACCCCTACACCCTTCAACCCTTCGAAGTTCTAACTCTGGAGGTTAAACCCTTTGAAGGGATTAGGGCATAGGGATGAGCCCTTCCAAATGGAATGCAGGGACTTCTTCTTCTTCTTCTTTTTGTTCAATGGCCGTTCACTCCTTAGGAGTATTACCGCCACCTACTGTATATCTTACGCACATGGGTGATGAATCTGTATTGCTGTCACGAAAATAAAAAAAATTGTAATGCCCTACCCACCCCAGAGGATCAGAAACCCAAGCTTTAGCTGGCGCTGCGTGTTCAGCTCCTCCAGCTTCCGCACTGAGCTCCTCAACGTCCGAGATGGGCAGAAGCATCACGATCCACATCCTCAAACACTAAATCCTGTGGTCTAGTCCTGTAAGCTCTAAAAATGTTAAAACCACCTTACATATCTGATTATCTCTCAAACCCTTTCCCAGAAGGTCTACGACGCTCACTGGCCTATTCCTTATATTGCTAAAACTGTTATGCTGATCATCATATTTATTACATTTAAAAAGCACATGCTCTGCTGTTTCAAAAACATCACATTCATCACACAAACCATTTTTATGCTTCTCCATTAATGCAAGTGTTGAATTTAGTCCTGTGTGTCCCATCCTTAATCTAGAAATCATTACTTCTTCCTTTCTGTGTCTTCCATAAAACTATTTTTTTCCGTACTGATTTTACAATATTATAATACCACCTACCAGTGCTGCTATTTTCTCATCTTTGTTGCCATATCACTTATTTTATCTAATTTCTTCCCAGAGGTACCTTAACATCCACCAAGTTTTTCTTTAATGCTTCTTTTGCTAACTTATCAGCTGTTTCATTCCCTATTATCCCGATATGTGCCGGTACCCAACAAAAGTATACAATTATATCCTCTACTTTCAGTCTGTAAAATAATGTATAAATTTCCACTAGCAGGTCTTCTCTATCAGTTTTTGTAGACATTATACTTTTAAGAGCTGATGAAGAATCTGAGCAAATTACAATCCTATTTGGCTTAATCTGTTCTACCCACTGCAATCCTACTATTATAGCTGTTAATTCTGTAGAGTCGCTTAACCTTAAACTTATTTTCGTCTCAAAACTTGGAATGTCCACTCCTATGCCCACTTTTTGTTTGACTGGATCTTTAGATCCATCTGTATAAATCTGTATAAAAGAATACAAATTTTCTCTCATAAAAACATTGATGTCATAAGAGACATATCAATGTTTCTCCACCTGTTATGAATCGATATCTAATATTATATCAACATATTATACCGAAGTGCATTTGATCGTTAAAGTGTGTGTCTGAATGCAGTCTACTAAGCCTGTGCGTGGATTTTCGCAGCCAATCAAAGTTGTCAGTCAGACACTGTATGGTGCTGGTGAGCTGATACTCATTACTGTAGAAATACTGGTATTATCACATCTCTTTCATTTTAGTACCCCTTTCCATCCTTTCTCTGCTGCGAAGACTCTACTGAACTCATGCACTCGATTTATGAAGTCCATGAAGTTTAACATTCTCTTGCTGTCAGGACGAACCTTATGCAAAATGGAAATACTCGCATGAATTCCTGACAGTTACAGATAAGAATATAACAGTCAAATGTATTTGACTATGATGAAGTCATAGTCACTATGCTATTATCTGATTTTGAAGGCTCATGATGAAGTGTTGTATATGGCCATGAAGGAGATGCAAGTGGACCTCCTGATAGCCTGTGAAGGTGCACTGCACAATGTCTTTCCATGGATTTGCACAGACTTTAATGTGGCAGTTGTGTTGGACGAGACTATTGCAGTACCATGCAGCTTTACCATGCTTATGGATGTAAAGTCAAGTCACCTTTATTTATATAGCACTTTATACAATACAGATTGTGTCAAGGCAGCTTTATAGTGTTAAACAGGAAAATAATCTTTCAATAATGCAAACAAAATTAAATTCTGCTGTAAAGCAGCTCTAAAAACAGGACAAAGGTAAACAGTCAGTTTTTCATTTAAAGTCAGTGCATCGTTGATTCAGTGATGTCATCGTCCAGCTCAGTTCAGTTCTCTTCCAATAGTGTCTGTCCCCAACTAAGCAAGCCGAAGGCGACACTGGCAAGGAACCAAAACTCCATCTGAGACGGAAATGGAGAAAAAACCTTGGGAGATGTCATCCCGGATGCACTGTGCTTTGTCTTCGTAAACATGTCTGAAGATTTCGACAGAGAAGATAACTTGCAATTTTTTGCCCAACCTTACTTATTTGAACCAGAATATACAGACGATGAACTACGCCCTGTTTACACTAGTGCGTTTTCATTTTAAAACGTATAAATTTTGCTACAGTTATGCCTGTCGTTTACACTACTCCAGTGTTTTTGAACCTCGAAAACTAGACTTTCGAAAACGCTGCAGACCCTGTTTTAGTTTGAAAACTCATAGAGGTTGCATTTCAGTGTAAACAGACACGGACTAAAACGGAGATTTTTGAAAATAATGGCATGGCTGCCCATATTCGCTCCGCGCGTCCTTGACGACTGTGTAAACAATAACATCATGCTCACTGTTGTACCTGCATGAATGGTCATGTGACATGCATTTTCGGTTGTGTAGTGTGGATGGAGATCGGTTCTGAAACGCAGTGAAAACGCCAGTGTAGACATGGATCTTTTTCATTTTAAGACGCCGTTTTAAAATGAAAATGCACTAGTGTAAACAGGGCCTATGAGATGGACGTTCTACGTCAGAACGCCGGCTCCTGCATCAGCAGCACCACACTTATGTGTTGTGGTGCTCTCGTGAAGGCAAAGACTGACATGGAAGAGAAGAAACTGTTGAATGAAGTATTCACAAAAAGTATTCTCATAGCTTCATAAAATTACGGTTGAACCACTGATGCCACATGGACTATTTTAACAGTGTCCTAACTACCTTTCTGGGCCTTGAACGTATCAGTTGCATTGCTGTCTATGGAGGGTCAGAAAGCTCTCGGATTTCAACAAAAATATCTTAAGTTGTGTTCTGAAGATGAAGGTCCTATAGGGTTTGGAACAACATGAGGGTGAGTAATCAATGACTGAATTTTCATTTTTCGGTGAACTATCCCTTTAACACTTGTGCTTTAAACACAATCGCTCAAAGACAACATGTTGCGGAAAACATTTTTTAGCAATTTTTTTCAGTTCCATTCATTTGCATGCTATCTAAAGGGTACACCTATGATAAGAGGAAACTCATGAATATTCACAATGCACCAACACGTAGAACCAGGAACAGAATATATTACACCGACGGTCACAAATACAATCCAAACAAGTGTGCACAGGTGTGGAGTGGACACATACCCTTCATAGTCATTTCAACCTGTGTGTGAACTTGAGCGAAAATCGTCAGGCCAATCATTAAAGGGTATGTAAATATATGCCATGCACTTAAGGGTTAAATAAGGTTGAAAACACAGCTGATTATGTTATTACAGCTTATCCTTTTACTGCTGCTTCTTACATTTCACTTCATTCTCCTCTTCACAGAAAGAATGGAACATCTTCGTAACTCTTTCGTTTTGCTCTTCCTCTTGTGTTCACCGTGGCCAAGTGCTGGGACAACTTTCTTGACCCATCTTGGAACGCTGTGTATAGAAGACTGCAAGCCTGATGGTGGCGAGTACAAGTGCAAGACTATTGATAAAGATGGAAGAAGCCAAAATATGTTCTGTTCACCTCAAGAAAATATGGACTACTGGGGTAGGCAGTGCAGAGCTGACAGTATGTGTGGCAAGTATGGAGAAGACTACTGCTGGTGCAGAATTAATATCTTTAGTTGGGGATACTGTGGGCTGGTGAAGGCTGACAAGAAGCTCATTGACTCTGGAGAGGGCACTCACATCACCTCTCGACATCGCAACAGGAGAGTTCCAGAAGTGATAGACACAGTGGATGACAAGGGTAACCATATAAAAACAACCTTTACTGCGGAGGCAGCTCCTGATGAGATCATTGATGGTAAACAATGGAGAAACGATGCTGAAAACTTAATCAATAGCTGGGAAAATTTGCACCTGGTGGACCAGGCACGTTCCAATCTGATCAAGTCTGGTAATCTCCGTATCGACATGCAGGGCATCATCAAACGCAACAATCAGAGATATTACAACCTGCAGATCCAGGTAAATGTGCAACGGAAGAAAGGTGAAAGCACCACTGTGGCTCAGATCATCATACCTGATGAAATTCCAGAACGTTATGTTCGCAGAGCCTTCTTGGAGAGCTTCAACCGCAGAGCTCGGGTTTTTATTGACGTTTCAAGGTATTAGAGCTATTCTTAATAAGAAAACAGTAATTTACACAGTAACTATAACACTTTCTCTGCAAGTATAAAAAATACAGTTAAGCTTAAAATTACTGTAGTATATTACTGTATGTTGCAACATTTGTTTAAAATTAATGTCTTGCCATTCTGTTTTGCTTTATTTTTTCTGTTACCACTCTTTCAATAAACGACTGATTTCATGCAAACTAAGAAACAAATATGTTTTCTGTAAATCACAATCATGGGATCTCATCATTAGGTTTTGCACATCAGATAATTTAATAATCCTTATAGAGTCAAAGTGTCATCACTTTGGAATAGGGTAAGGACATGTTCTCTTATGCATTATAAGATAACTTATACAATAACTATTTTGAAAATATGTCGTGTATATCACATTGATACAGTAGTTATTGACTAGATTGAAACATGAACACAAAATGCGCAAACTTTAATGCAGACCATATCAGTCAAGCATCAGGTGACAAGAGGCATAACACTCTACAGCAAAAAGCTAAAGTATCAGCATTGTGCAGAACATTTTATATTTGAGACTCTGTTAAAAGACAGTAACAAACCTGCTGAGTGTTCTGTCTTAATTATTAAGGGGAAGACATTTTGTAAAAAAAAAAAAAAAAAGTGCTGGATATGGTCAAGAAAATTTGCACATTTCCACACCAGAGATCTGCTCGACAACTGATACTGGTATCAATAAAAGGGTATTTTACGCCACCATTCAAAAGTACACTCTAAAAAACGCTGGGTTGTTTCAACCCAACTTTGGGTCAAATATGGACTAACCCAAATGTTGGGTTAATTTTTTTATTAAATATTTTAACCCAAAAGTTGGGTTAGTCCATATTTGACCCAAAGTTGGGTTGAAACAACCCAGCATTTATTAGAGTGTAGTGATGCATTTTTGCTTTTTAAAGATATCAATGCTTCTTTTCATCAAGGATGCATTAAGTTGATATAAAAATAGTTGCGCTATTTAACGACATTTGGACATCACAATACAGGGTCTTTGTTCAGTTATAAAGTATTGAGTACGCTTGTATTTCCTGCAAGTCACTTTAAACATCCATGTTAAATTTTGGCCAAAAAGAAACACATTTCTCAAGAAACTAGTCGGTCTGTCTTTCTTTTGAGATATGAAGGAAAAGAATAAAAGATGCTTGAAAGAATAAAATAAAGTGGATGAAAGCAGGACAAAGAGAGAATTGAACAACAGCTAGAAAATGTCTCTAATTTTACTCGTCACAAGTCTTAAACTGGCATATTCAGTGAACAGCGCATGCAAAATGCCATGCATGCTTCATCTGCAAGAGTCAAGACAACACTCTGGGATGTTGGCATTTTAGATAGACTTTCAAGGCAAAAGGGCAGAATATGCTAATTAAATAATTCATCCATTCAAACGGAGTCATTTAGTAAAGTTTGAGCGGTTGAGCTGTTGTAACTATCAACTTAGTGATGTGCTGCAGAAAGTATGGTATGAAACTTTACTTTTAAAGCAGCTTTTATTAAATGAAAATATCAATACCTTCAAAAAACATACAAATTTCGCAGTGACCCTAAACTTTTGAATAGTAGTGCAGTTGTGAAAAAAGAACAGTGAATCAATTATTTTGCTCGAAAGGGTGGACAGTACTGGTGGCAAAAACTCACGTAAACTGCACAATTGTTTCTGTTGCCAGAACACACATCATCTGAGGAGGTTTTTGTAATACACTGAGTATTATTATAGACGGGACCTGACTGGGACACAATTTCAGGCTGAGAGTCAGGCCATCCCATAAACCCACAGCAAAAAAAAACACTACTGGTGCAAACATAATTTACATTACTTTTAAGAATAATACAACAAATGTTGGGAAAGTGATATCATTGCTCCATTTGTGTGTTTTTCTAACTTGGCCCCAGTGGTCTACGCACCTAATAAGGCCAAACGAGAGAGAATAAACATAAGAATTAGCTTTTAGTTTACTTTACAACCTCTTCCTCTCTAATATCCAAGTGAATATTATTATACATAAAAATATTATATTTAACATTTATAATATATAATTTAATTCAATGTTTGTTTTTAATATAACTAATATCAACATTTTTTATAGGAACATGTCAGTTTTATTTGGGGTCCATTTTTGATTTGATGTTGATTCCATTCACTGTTAGCAAGTCATGCCAACTTCACTATTGCCCTCATATGGACATTAGGCAAAATGCAGCTTCGCACTAAAAACAAATGACTTGGCATTTTCCTAACTTTAAAGTAAATTATGCAGACATGCTAGTCATAACGTAATGCTAGCCGCTACACTTCCTACTAATTTCTGACAGCTGCAACCCTCCAAAATGTTAGTTGTAATCTTCTTTTGTGCTACAGTGGCTGCTGTTCTCTAATTTTGATCACTGTGTTTTAAAAAAAAAAAAAAATTTTAATGCCTTGGTTATTTTGTCAAACATGTTGTAAACAGTCGTATACACTCGTATTTTTTTTTTAACCTAAATGCTGGGTTGAGCCTTTTTTTTGGGTTGTTTTTTCAGTGTTACCCAGGTCCTGGGTCAAATGTAACAACCCAGTGTTTGGGTAGTTTTTGTGTTACTCAGATCCGGGGTCAGACGTAACCCAGCGGTTGAGTTATTTATCGCGGGGATTTTGCGTCCTTCATAAAGATACAGAATATAATACTGGATGTTAAAACGTCCTCAGAGCTGTTTATTGTTTGTTTATTGGCAGGTTATGGAGTCACAGCATGTTTCGGCTATAGAGTGTAACGCAGGGTGGCGGTCCGTTAGCAGTTCCCCGCCAAACACGACTCCAGCTCAGGCACGAGAACCAGCGCCGTTACGGTGGAAACAGAATAACAGAGACTGGTCGATTACACGTGAATTAATTTTGTTTTATGTTGAATTTTTCTTCTAATGTTTGTTAAACGAGTTTAAATATAGGCAATATGTATAGCCTATTAAAAACGATATAAACAATGCTGTACCTAAATGATAAATAAAGGAAAATAAAGGAAGTTATCATGCAAACCAGTGGTTGTGTGGAGTATTTTAGAAAAGTTTAGAGGATTTAAGTTAATCTGTAAACCTCACTTAATGTATGAAGTAAAAAATAAGCTAGTAATATTGTAAAAATGAATAAACCCATTATGCTGGGTTAAATAAACAACCCAATTTACTGGGTAAATTTAACCCAAGATGGGTTCTGTCCTATATTTACCCAGCCCTTGGGTTAATAACAACCCAAATTGGGTTGTTTTTAACCCAGTGTTTTTTAGAGTGTACCTGCAGCTAATATTCCTTCAAATTTTGATCGATGAAGATTAACAATATTTCAGGAAAAATCAAGTATTTATAGATTGTTCTCTCATTTTGATCTCCACTGTATTAATCTTCAGGTCTAATTTCAATGCACCTTTCAGTCGCAGTGTGTAGTATGAAAAACATAGAATACAAGTATGCAAGAACAGCTGGAAACAGTTTTTTTATTGTAAACATAGATTATATCTACAAATCAGGTTTTAACTATAATTTAAAAGTTTAGAATTTGTATATCAGTGCAGATCCAGTCTGAATGGAGCCATGTTTAGCAGCAGTCATTGAACAATAATTTGGTTCACTCACTGCTTCACCATCCAATCAAATAAAGTACAATAAATCCAGATGAAGGAATTAGGAGGTGCAGAGTCCTTCCCAGCCTTGCTTCTGTACCATGGCTTCTTATTTCAGCAGTTGTGCATGTTATGCATGATCTTTCTGTTAAGGCAAACCCACAAACAATTGGGAGTAAAATCAAACTGTAAACTCATAAAACCAATTACTATGCTTTGACCAAAATAAATGCAACTTAACACAAGCTAAAACCGATGACCAAAATAGTTACAACACACCTTTGACCACCAGTTGTGCGCTGTGATCAATTCCCAAAGCTGGGACAAAACAGACATACGTTCCTCCATCAGAGAGCTGAAGATCGGTGAGTCTGAGAAAGACATGACCCTTCTTAAGTAAAACTTCTGTTCTGTTCTTGTATGCTGGGTCTTGTTCCTTTACAGAAACATTTCCATGGATAATATCGAATACATTCCTGGTGTCGTTGTGTCTCCAGTGGACTGTCAGCTGTTTTTCTTCAAGCACAATACGTCTGTGACTGCACTTCAGGATGACAGAGCTTCCTTCAGTGCCTTCAACTACCTGATGCAGAGAGGCTAGAAAACACGACTTTTCTCAGAATTACATAACTGTAATTATTGACTATTAACTATTACAGTGGGGTCCAAAAGTTTGAGACAGCATTGAAATTAAGATTTTTGTTTTGTTTTCAAATATCTTATATTATTACACTATTTCTGAATTTGTTGGTCATTTAAATCTAAGAAATTGAGAGCTGTTGATTATGTGACTCTTGGTATAGAGTCAGACAATCATTGAAGATGCTCTGTTTCATGTTTCTACTTAAATTTGAACTAAAACTGTGTTGCTGATAGTTTGCAAATAAAAAATGTAATAAAGCATAAATTACAATGTCAAAAATGGTCTCGAACCTTTGGACTGTCTTTCCTCTGTTCTTACCTGAACTTGTTAACAGTACGAACACATAAATGAAGCAGCATCTGTAAACCATAAAGACAAATTATTAAAATTAAAATAAAAACTCTTACAATCCTGTCAGCATACAGCAAAAGTGAAGCTTACTTATTTTCAAATCCATCACGTAGTCAACTAATTTTTAAGGGAAGGTAAAGGCAGGTCAGTTTGTTGCTAAAAGTTGCTAAATGACATTGTGCCATTGCATAACCAGACGCAAAATGTGCCATTGCATAGAATAGCCTACACAATTAGGCTACTCAAATTGACTGGCCATCTAATTGTTTTCTAAGCATTTCTTAAAAAAAAAAAAAAAAGATTGGACATCTCATCAAAAATATTATTTGAAATATGTTAATTTAGATGTGTAAAAGTAATATAATAAAGGTTTTTGTTCATTATATGTCCTGTTCGAGTTTATTGGAGGATTTCTATTGCAAAGACACATAAATCAGCCTCAGGCTATAACTTTGCTATGTTGACACGTGCACTCAATATCACAAGCCGAACAATCCTTCCAAATTTCACCAGTAGCCTACATTGTACACTGAATATTAATAGGTTACCGAGAACCCGTAATATATTAATCTCCACAACGTGGAGTATAATTGATAAAGTATTACCGTCGGTACATGTTGTAGTGTGTTAATGTCAGGTTCAACAGGGCGAATGGAAGCACGTGTGAATTTTAAATGTCTCAAAAGTGAAAGTATCCGCCTCCTGCAGACTCTACACAGACAGGTAGGCCTATATAAAAGCGAATAATACACGAGGCATGTCTGCGGAAGTGAAAGTTTGTGCTTCTCTCAGGCTGACTCCACAAATAAAAGCGAACTTCAACTAAATAACATACGTCGTAAAACACCAAATCAGATTTATAATTACCTCTATTTGCATTAAATAACTTTTCAGAATTAACTTCTCTGCAAGTCTGACTCAATAAACATCTTCTTAAGGTAGAAATAACAGTACATAGCCTACTGACAGAAAAAAAATTATTAAATGTCGCATGTCTTCGAAATCTCACGAGTAGGCTACATTGTAAAATACAGTAATACAAGACTGGTCTGTTAGGCAATATAGGCTATATCTAACTCTACATCGTGCAGGTTGAATTGAGAAAGTCGTCTTACCGTCGGTAAGTGTATGTCAGAGTCACTCTCCGAATAAGCCGTCAAAAACAGCGTCTTAGACAAACGGGTTATAAAAATGGAGCCTTCTCTGCAAAGTGAAAGTCTTGCATGTTTCACCGCCTCTCGTAGGAGGAGCGATAAAGTAGCTAATAGCTACCGAACTAAATAACATGAATCCTAACATACTACTATTATACTTTCTATTTGCATTAAATAACTTTGCTTTTCTCAGACACGTTTCTGAAGTTTGAAATGCCGACGACAATGCGTTTACGTTTACGTTTACGTTAAGAAGCTGATCCATTTCTTCACACTGCATGAGAACATTTATGTTAAAGAGGATTTGGTTATGTTAATTTTACTCATTATTTTCTTATCCGTCGCTATTAGTAATATCAATGCATAATATGCAATGTTCAAATAATTTGAATGGACAGTTCAATTCGACTGCAGTTCAGCACATAATCTACACCAGCATGCATTTCTTTAAAAATTTGTGATATTTTGAACATACAAAGGACCAAACACATTTTTTATAAAAAAAAAAAATATATATATTTTATTTACAAATGTCTACTATACATAAAATGTATATATATATATGTGTGTGTGTGTGTATGTATGTATGTATATATATATATATATATATATATATATAAACCCCCCAAATCCCAAATTATTTAAAAATAGTGTTATCAGAAAAACATGACACTATTAGGGTATGTTCACACTGTAGTTTGGTTCGTTTGGTCCGGACCAAAAAGGAAAATGATACATTTGGTCCTGGTACGCTTAGCGTTCACATTGGCATTTTTGACAGCGAACCTAAAGATTAATAGTGATACGTTCACAACCTGATTGGTTGGCTTGAATGACGAATGTATCGTGATGGAACTCACCGAACACCTCAAACAAAAGGTGCGTTAGACTTAAAGTGGCGCTGCGGGTGTATGATATCAAAGCACCCATTAACCCACATATAATTTTATTTTCACCACCTGCAAACTCACAAGGTGCTCATAAAAGGCACTTTACCTCATCGTTGCTCCACGTTTGCCCTCTGCTCATTTTGTTTTGGTTACACCGTGTTGTCAAATCATGTGCATAGCGTCGCAATCTTGTCATTACTTCCTGTTTTTGGTTTGTTTAGAAGTATTTGGTCCGTGTTGCGTTCATATATCATTCGAACCGCACCAGAGTTCGTTTGGAAGCAGACCGAGACCCATCTTTTTAGCGGTCTCGGTCCGCTTGTTTGGTGCGCACCAGGGTTCGGATGGCAGCATTCACACTTACTCAAACGAACCGCACTAACAGAGTAATCGCACCAGGGTTTGTTTTAATCGAACCAAACATGACAAGTGTGAACGCACCCTAAGGGGTCATTGGATGCGACATGCACTTTTGCAAGTTGTTTGAACTGAAATGTGTGTTGGCAGTGTGTGAACACAACCACCCTATAATGATAAAGATCCACCCAGTGTTTTTTTTTTTTATCTCGTTAAATCATTTCCCCTTTCTTAAATCAAGCCGTTCTCAGATTCTTGGCTGTATGACATCACACAGGCCAAGGCCCCTCCAACGATAGTTGATTGACAGTAGCGTTTCAGTAGACTGGACTGGTGTCTTACCTCAGACCCGCCCTGAGTGAGCTGTCATCAGTCCGCCATTGTTTCACCGCCGGAGCAGGAGTAGACCAGAATGCCTCCTAAGCGATTAAGGTGTTTTGTTGTTGGATGTAATAATGAACATAGCAGTCATCATTTACTCCCGACATCTGAGCCGCTGAAGACGCAGTGGATTACTTTTGTTTTTGAAGGGAATGTGCCCCCGATCTGACTAAATGTGTCTATGTTTGCGCGAATCATTCGTGATCCAGCTTCACCTCCAGAAGAAGTGAGTATAAGGTTTTTGGATGAATCTTTGCAAATGGCCTTTCCAAATAATGTGCTAGTTAGCAAGTTTCACGATGCGGCTAAAGTTTACAGTCTCTCAGAGAGCGGCTCGGAAGAGAGGGGCGGGGTCAGCAGAGCTCATTTGCATTTAAAGGGACATGCAACAAAACGGCTTGATCTGAAATTAGTTGTTTTTGACAGGGTAAAAAAATTAGGTTTTTTTTACACTACCATTGAGAAATGTTAACCAAACTATGTTACAGACTTTTCATTAAGACCCTAAATAATCATATCAACTTCTGGAAAATGGACATCCTATGACCCCTTTAATACAAAGCCAAAAGAAATGTTAACCAAACTATGTTACAGACCTTTCATTAAGACTCTAAAGTATCATATCAACTTGTGGAAAATGGGCATCCGATGACCCCTTTAAATAAAAAGCGCAAATACTTTGTTTCCTTTTCCAAGGTTTTCTGAGAATGCAGGGAAAAACAAATTCAAATGAAAAACAAAATTCAACATGCAGAAAATATAAGTAGCATATACTGTTGTGTTTACAGTTAATAGCTTCTATTTTTGGACAAATGCAAGTGTAGTGTGACATATGTTGTGTTTTATGTCAGTTCATATTGAACACTCAACTTTACCTTCGTCATTAAAGTGTTTTCTTTTTGGTCATTAGGGATGTTAGATTGTTGAGAAAAGTAGAAAATGTTTCTTGTTTTTGTCAGTGGAATTGAAATGTGGATAATATTCCAGTCTTTATATACTATAAGGTCATCTGTTGTAATCATGGGCAGGTTTGACTCCTCTGGAGAAGTCTTTGGGTCCGCTCTCTTCTCATTAGGTTCTGTAAGAAAAGAAGCATAGAAAGTAAACAGTGTAAAAGAGTTCCTATCAATCTAATAATTAATTTAGTCCCCCCACTACAGTGATTGGTAACTATTCACAATAAATTATGACGTGCTGACAAAGACAGAAAAACTGCATAATTCAAAAAAGATGCAAAGAACATAAAACTTTTCTTTTACAATCTCTCTTTATTAGTAAGACAAATATTACTTTAAAAGACTTGACCTACTCACTTGAGCAACAACACTGAAGGTATGAACGACCATCTCTTCTTTGCTGGTGATGTGTAGTTTATAAAATCCATAATGTTCAGGTGTGATGATTGTGATGGTGAGAGATCCTGTATCAAGGTTCAGTTTCAAACTGTCTTTGAATTGTTGAATTGTTTCATTATATAGGTTTACCTCATTGTTTGTTTTATTCAGCGTAGCTATTAAAACAAATTTAGCACAACTGCGTTCTTTGAAATCTGCAAACTTCCACCATATCATGTCAATTTCCCGTATTTCAGTAAGATCAGTGTGTAGCGTGACAGATTGTCCCTCAATCACTGGCATTGATGTGATTTTATCTTCCTTAAGAAGCACACCTGGAGAACAAACAGAAACAGTTTTTTAGATGGAGATCAGAATTCTGTTTCCATCCATGTATTTGTATGCAAAGTTTGGGGTATCGCCTTAAAAACACTTGAAAGAAACGACAAGATGAACAGAAAACCTTAAAATGTGCAAGTTATAATTTGCGCCAGTTTCCCAGGAAGTGACACTGAAAAAACATGTGGGATGGAAACTGTTTTATTTGCAAATATTTCATGCAATATTCCAATTTCATTCACAACTTTGGATGAAAACAATATCTTGTCCAACTAAGCTTGCGACTTCCTACAGCCCATATAACAATAGTTTCTTGTTCGTAATTTCAGTCTCTAAACACGACATACCCATACAACATAAAAATGTTGTGATTATAATATGATTTAAAGATTACAAAAACATTTCTTACAGCATTCCACTAACTTTTTTTTTTATTTTTTTTTTACCAAAAACAACATTATTTAAATGTTTACTTTGAATATTCTATAAAGGTTAAAATGGCCAGTTTTCTTGTTATGATTACAATGTTATTTAAAGGTTACAAAAAAACCCTAACGTTTCTTAGAATGTACACAATAACATTACAACGCCATTCAAAGAATGTTGTTCTAAGAAGATTATGACAATGTATATCAAATATTAAGTAACAAGAACGTTCCATTAACATTACTTTAAAAAATGTTTGTCCTAACATTTATTTAACTTAAACATAAAAACATTAGTAAAAGTTGTGAGTGCATTCCCCGTTATTCCACGTAATTATTCATTGTAGGTCAAACTCCTTAAAAATCATTATCTCATATATTGGTAACAATCAGACAAAACTGAAATTCTTCTGATTGGTTTTTGTCATGAGGGTCTTTAGATCATGCGTACCAAATTACAGTTGAATTAGCCTAAAGCCCAAAGTATACTTCATAGCATACGCGTACAGTCGAACGCATATCCTTTTAAAGTGTACTCCAATGTAAAGAGTGCATGAACGCAGGCGGTCGACACATGCGCTCTAGAAAGCATCATCTTCGTCAAGCATCTGCTGTATTTTTCTCCAGAAGTTATGACCGATAAAAATGTCTTTGTACATTCGTTTTGTTTTCTACTGTAAAACAATGGCCCGGGCCAGTGTTGCCACCTTGTGGAACAACTGATTAGTGCAAAAACAAGTCAATGCGTATGTACAACCAGCGGTTACAAAAGTCCGGTGGTGTACGTACTATTCTGATGATGAAATTCACGTCAATGTACGCTGACCCTCGCGTACGCTTAAAAAGTGAAATTTACTTTGGGCTTAAGAGGAGTTAAAGAAAATTCAAAATGGCAGACAAATGTCACAGAGGAAGCACTGTGTTGTAAATGATCAACATGATCCAACAAGCCTGTACTAGTTTCTTTTTACCTCCTCATCTCTCTCTGTCTTTGGGACTCTTGAACAGTCTGTCATTTGTCAGTAAAGCTCAGCATACTGGGCTTCAGACCTGGATTTGCCCAGAGGACACAGCAACACCCACTTTCTCCCACAACTCCCACCAAACAGGTTTGATTATTTGTGATACCTAATACACCACTCTCCTCTCTATGATATAATAACTCCCTGCACAAATCTGTGTTGTAGTTGTGGGTCAGCCTCATTTGTTGTTTTAGTTTTTCCTTCACACACTTATTCTGAATCTAACAGTCCTCTACAGACCTTTGTCAGGTAGTGCTATATGACAAGATCATTCCAAATGAGGCTGTGAGGGACAGAAGTACTGTTTTTTTTTTTTACCATACCGATTATTCAGCTGATGAAACGTCTTTCTAAAGAAAGTTTCAAGAGACAAAAACTCCATAAACAGTTTTGAAAGTTGTGGGTTGTGAAAATGATATGATTTAGAACCTTTATATCATGCGTGCCATTGTAAAGACTGTAAAGCCCCGTTCACACCAAGCACGATAACTATAAATATAACGATAAAGATATAGTTCTAAAAATCGTTCTCAATATTAAAGAATAGCAGAGTCCACACCACAACTATAACGATAAAGACAAAGAGAAACGATATCGTTGGAATCACTTTCAAAACGATTTTTCTCCAGCTGATGAACGATAAAAAAATTGACAGCCAATCAGAATCCATCCTGCTGTAACGAGCTCGAGAATTTAAAGAGGCAGACGCATTTGTTCTTAGAATAAACAGACGATATCGTTCGCTGGTGTGGACGCTAATATTGTTATCTTTATAGTTATCGTTCTTGGTGTGAACGGGGCTTAAGTCTTTCCCTCACAGCCTCGATTTCAACCGTGTTAAATTCACTATGGTGTTTAACCTCATTAAGGTCTATCGCAGGGGTTTTCAAACTGGGATCCGCAAGGGAAAGAAGTTCAGAGAAAACAGTGTAAAAATGTAAATAAAATATAACACTAAATAAACCATAAAAATATATTTAAAATAAATAAAACATATAATAGCACAGTATTATAGTGACAAAAAATGAGCAATGTAATAGAAGCAAAATATTTTCCAATAATATTTTACACAATTATATTTTTAAATAATGAAATAAATTAATAACAAATATTTTTTCAGAGTATGAATTGGGTCTTTATAAATTAAACTATAAATGATCATTTTTACGATAGGATTTTTATGATTATCATATTTAGGGGATTGAAAGTCTCTCTTTTCCCCATCTTTCTACATGACACATCTTGTCCTCACTGCCACATTCAGGTAACCCGAATGCTAAAAACCAACACTAAACACTCATAGAACGACCTCACTATCCACCGGCGAAGCCCCAATGATCCATCTTCATGCAGCCTTCAACACTATCAATTTTCACTAGGCTGTAAATGTTTTAAACAATTTGATAACTGTGCAATGAAGCATTTCAAGTTAGGATGAATAGCCTTAGGTAAAAGCATCAATAAATGAACAAATCCAATGCAACTTACTAGTTTCTAAATCTCCCTCCTGAACAGACGCGTTCCCACCTGGTGAAAACAAAACACAAATATTAATCTGTTGTAAATGCTGATTTGCACAAACACAGATCCTGCATGCACAGTTGTCCTACTGTATTTTCTGGAAGTCGCACCAGGTCAAAATTGTATTGTTGAGAGAAAAAAACACAGGGAGTTTGGAATAATTAGGATTAATTAGGATTTTCTTTTAATGTTTTTTGAAAAAGGTCTCTTCTGCTCACCAATGCTGCATTTATGTGATACAATAAAAAATATATTGCAAGTAGTAATATTGTGAAATATCGTTACAATTTAAACGTATTTAACGGAGTAAAGGATTATTCTCAAAACAAAACAACAACAACAACAGTGCGCTTATGCTAGAGTGTGTTTGCTACAACCCATGCTGCATCTCAGTCACACCCTTCCCCTGAGAACAAAATATAAATCAGATCATCCAGTTTTCTGTTCAGCTTCACCTTATTCTCTGTTTTTAGATAACGGGGAACATTCTTAGTGCTATAAACTAAGTTACAAACAATTATTTTTCCAGTAACGTTAATAGAATGTTCGTTCAGTGTTCCTTCAATGTTTTCTCTTATGATCTCATAAACAAGAAAAAGAAACTGATATTTTAAAAGTCCAGAGAACATTCAGAAATAACTACTTGCTAGTTTCATGGTTCAGAGAGCATTCAAAATTAAGATACGTGTGCTAATGTTTGCTAAATTATAAAATGTAACTTAATGTTTTCGTAACCAACAAAAATGGTTTCTTAAACATTAAAAAAATAACAACAGGTGTTTTAAAAGTTCAGAGTACATACATAACTAGTTTCATGGATCAGATAACATTCAAAAGTAACATTTTCATAATGTTTGCAAAATTATAAAATACATGGACTATTCCCTAAATGTTTCCTTTAACATTTGCATAACCAAGAAAAAAACATTTTTAAAAAGTTGATTTAAACAAATTGATAAAAAAAAAAACATGTTTTAAATATTTTAGTTGGGATAAACTTTGCCAGTTTCAAGTTTTAACTGTTTCTGAGCTAATTTGCTTCACAACAATAATCTGCAATATTAACAACATATTACTACATGATATCTTACCATCTACCTCCACAGCTAACAAAGGAACTGCACCTGTTTTAACCAAAATCATAGCCTTAATTATATGGCACCATTGTATCTGTCATGCAAGGTACACAAAGCTGTACAGTAACTTACCATTTTTTGAATGTCTCGTTTCCCCATCTGCTGAAAACACAGATATATCAATCTCGATACTGATTTAAATGAACACAAACACCCAGAGAGATTCAGTAATGCAGTATCGTACCATGGTTTGGCTGATGAACGTCCCCATTGTTTCCAGGAACTACACCTTTAATAAAAATCACATGACTTGATTCAATTAAATCTTTTGTCACCCATAACTATAATCAGTGTCGGGGTAACGCATTACAAGAAATGAGAGTTATGTAATCGGATTACTTTCTTCAAGTAACTAATAAAGTAACGCATGAAACAATTAAATATCTGAGTTACTTTATTAAGTAAGTAATGCAAGTTACTTTTTTCACATTTATTGACTGTCCCCATGTTGGAAGAAATTGGGAATAAGTGCAGAGGCACTTCCTTCAGTCTGAGGCTTATTCATGAAAGGGCCTTTACAGTTGCCAGAAATATAACTTTTGGCTTTTTTGTTATTAAAAAATAAATACGCAAGCCCAGAGACAAAAACTAAGGCAAAAGTAATGCAATGTCTTACTTTACATGAACAGTAATTAAGTACCGCAGTTAGTTACTTTTTAATGGAGTAACGCAATATTGTAATGCATTACTTTTTCCCCAGCACTGACTATAATATTATAACTTCCAAGTTTTTTGTTATGATGTTTAATGTTACAATGGAAAGAATGAAGCTACATCAAAAACACAAGAATCTGTACACATAGTTAAATTGTATCTCACCTTTTAGGCTCTTGAGTTCCTCTCCGTCAGGTTCATCTGTAAAAAAAAAAAAAGAATGGTGTAATTTAAACAATTATGAAGAAGTAAATGCAAACTTTCTTACAAAACAATACTTTGCACTCTTATTTTTTCTTTTAAATTAGCTACAAGTAACACGTACCGCCTTTATCTGTCTGTTTACGCGTCTTGCGCTGGCAGTAATAATAAATACCACACAAAACTGCAGCCACAGACAGAGCACAAGCACAAACCAGCGCTATATGACCTGCGGACAAACCTGGTGCTATGATGGAAAGAGAGAAACTGTATCAGCATCGGAACTGCTAAAAATTGTTATTGACGTACGTGAATATGACCAGCTCTGTGAAAAAGCGCTGCCATACCTGCACATGTGTGACAGAGTTGACTGATGTCCAGATGTGTGGTCTGGTTGCTGATGGGATTGTTGAGCACACAGCTGTAGGTGACTGAATGCATCTCGAAAACTACCCACCAGAAATAATAATACTGAATTTCTTGGGCAGCACCTCTTTTCCATCAATGATCTGTAAAAATCTGTAAACTCCAGTATGTTGAGTTCTGGTGTCTGTGATGGTCAGAGATCCAGTTTGATGATCCACCTTCAGTCTGTCTCTGAATCTCCCATCAAGAACATCATCATATAATGAGATCTTATTGGCCATTCTGTTGATTTGAACTATTCGAGTGTTGTCAGATCCAAACGTCCACAGTATCAGATCAGCTTTCTGTATTTCAGTAAGATCAGTATATAAAGTGACAGAATCTCCCTCCATCACTGACACGGACTTCACTTCATCCGTATAACCAAACACACCTGCAGAAGAGAGACCGTTTTAGAGATTTAAGCTGAACAAATTCAACTGAGATCACGGAGTCTTGTTTAAGGATTAATTTTGACTAAATGTATGGTGCTTTTGTCATTTCTTCTCTATTCAGCCTTATAGTATGGAGAAGAGTGGTGTGTGGATATCAAATCTTCACGGGTTCAGGCCACATTTCAAGTCCCTCAGGGTATTTTGTGAAAACAGGAACAACAAAATGAAAAGTGGCCATAAGAAAAAGTGAGTTGCAGTTAAGATAACTGAATATTGAGTTAGTGAATATTGGACAGACAAACATCAGCACAAGCATGTTTTGAGTTTAAGCGCCATAAAACAGATCAAAACATTACTTCAGAAATTGAATATGTTAGTATTATATTATATTCAAATCATTTTTAGATATTTAAGTATCGAAAACCATTTAAATCTACTCACCATCCACGAGTAATGTAACAAAAAATAAAACAAACGCCTCCATATTTCTATGAGTAAAAGAGCAGTAAAAGTTGTCCATTGTAGTTGTTAAACCGTTCCGTTGAGTCTCAAAGCGTTTGATCAGTTCTTCCAATCAGTTTCTAAACGAGCTAAACCGCAAGGTGATATCATTTCACTTTTATAGGTGATTTTGTCATATTTAACCGACTTCAGATCAGTAGGTCGCGTTTATACGAGTGAAACGCGAAATGTTCTTAATTTAAATGCTGGGAAATCAGTGGGCTAAATCCGATCAAAATAAGGAAGTAAATTAATTGAAACTTCCCAACGGGATCTGTCATGGAGAACATTGCCGATCTGCAGCGCCAGAAACTCCCACACCGGTACAGTTCACACACCTCAACTATCAAACGATTTAAAACAGTAAATGGGTGTGTAACAAAGTGTGTCAACGCCACCACAGCAGGTTAAAGTTCAAGGTATTATTCAAGTTGTATACTTACCAAGAGAATTAGTCCTAGATTATAACACTTGAGATATAACACAATTATTTCATAAGACAAGCTTTTTTATTATTATTATAAAGGTCATATTTTGTTGTTAATGAGTTTCGGTTTCAGTTCAGTTTAATTTATTTATATATATAGCACATTTAAAAACGACAGAGCAGACCAAAGTGCTGCACAGAGAAGTAGAATTAAGCCAATAACCATAAAACAAATTTACAATAAAAAGGAGACAGAAGTAATACACAACACTAAATATACACACAATAAAACCATTTAGAGTGTCAGGACGCCTTGATCTGTATATGAAAATATGGGGTTCTTTTCTTGCATTGATTGAGAAAATGTTATAAAGAGATTAAGTATAATGTCAGATATGCTTTGTCTCCTTAAGTGTGCATGTAAAATCTAAGATGTCTCGGTGTGTCTAAACCCTAAATATGTATATATTTGATTTGTTTTTTTACTTATTTATAAAAAAAAAATATTTATTTATTTTTTGGGGGAGGGGTGGGTGGGTCAATTGTTAAATGTCATTTTCATATGTCATACTGTCATATCTCTGACTGTCTTTGTTAAGTGTTACATTAGGTAAGATCTGTTACTGTCAATCATTTAAATCAAGTTCGGGTTGTTTTATTGTGTAAAAAAAAAAAGCAACAAAAAACACCACCGCACGCCACTGAGAAAAGTGTAGTTTTACCGAGCAAACAGCAGAAACGGCGAGAAAGACGGTGGCAGCTGCCAGAAACGATTAGTGGCAGCTGCCACGAACTCTGGCAGCTCTGGCCTTTGACTCCTGGCAAGAACTATGGCAACTGATACAAAATGTGTAATAATAATAATAATAATAATACAGTTGTGGGAACTTTGCATCATCATTTAAAAAAACACCACCGCACGCCACTGAGTACAGTGTAGTTTTACCGAGCAAACAGCAGAAACGGCGAGAAAGATGGTGGCAGCTGCCATGGCATCTGGGGATGCCACCGGAAGTGGCGCTGCGACCTGCCGCTGCCAGAGAGAGCGCCAGTCCTTGCTGTGTGTCCTTCCTAGTTCGGTATGAAGATAAAATAATGCCTAAAAGATTTTGCAAACGCTAGTGATGGCGAAGTGAAGCGTTCTGAGTACGAAGCTTTTAACACAATTGTATCGAGCGACCTGCCGCTGCCAGAGAGAGCGCCAGTCCCTGCTGGTAAAAAGACTGATATGTTCTCAGAATTGTGAGTTTATATCTCGCAGTTCTGACTTTATGTCTCAGAATTGCGACTTTATGTCTCACAATTGCGAGTTTATATCTCTCAATTATGACTTTTTAACTCGCAGTTGCGAGTTTATATCACGCAATTCTGCGAAAAAAAAGTCAGAATTGTGAGATAAAAAGTCACAATTACCTCTTTTATTTTTTATTCAGTGGCGGAAACGGGCTTCCATACAAATCACATCAGAAAAGCATTATTTTTTTTTTATAAAAATGAAGGAAATAATCAAAAAGTTGAAAACGCTATCGGCTAGGGTTAGGGTAGGTGTAGGGAGGGCTTTTGTCCCAATAAGGTGGTATCCATTTAATAATTTGAATTAAAATAAAAATTTACACTCAATAAGTTATTATTGCATACTGTTTTATAATGTATTACAATGCTGAGGTGCAGATAATTGCCACCATTGGCAATAAGTAATTAGCAGAATATCCTGCTATTTTAATATAGTATAAATAGCTATTTGTACTTAGTTTAAATAGCATCAAACAGGACCACAGGGAGACGCCAAAGACCACTAAATCGCCTGCCTTTACTACTCTACAGATCCATTCAGAATCGCTAAATCTCTGACCACCGCATAATCAGCGTTCATTATAAAACACTCTTGCTTTTAAGCCAAATACACGCTGAAAAGAATAATTTTTACTGACATCTGGACATAAGTGGTAAGTCACTATTCTCTCCGCAATCGCAGAATTTCTCTGCATTAGCGCTGTTGGCAGTTTACTGGATCTTTGGACTTTCCAGGAGTTTACCGGTTTAAAAAATATGTGATCGCAAAAGCCTACTTCTTTTCATTTTAAGATATTATTTTCGTTATAAAGTACTGATTCAAATTAGTAATCAATAATTAATTATTATTCTACTACTCTGCGCGCCTCCCCCTCCCCCACACCTACTCCTAAACCTACCAATAGGGGGTGCATAATTTGGCAGGGTGCAAATTTCGGCACAACACCGGCAACATGTCAGAAGTGTTACTATGTTTGAAATGAAGGAATTTTCTGTATTCATTTTTCCACAGGCTTTTTACCTGCATTTTTAATTACGCATTGTATTTTGCGTTTTACAACGGATAATGGATAACAGATAATGTCCTTGAAAATTACTACCTTTTCCATTTTTGTAGATATTTTTCTTACAAGTGTACTAACTGATCAACAATCGCAGGTACAAAATTTGTTACAAATTGCCAAACACATTTTTAAAAATAGCTAAATTTATTGCTAGTTGCTTTTGGAAGAAAAAGTTGCTAGAGTAGTCTGAAAAGTTGCTAAATTTAGCAACACAATTGCCAAGTTGGCAACACTGGTAATGAAGAAACCACCCCTGGTTGCAGTTTAGCTACGTAACAGTCGTGTATTTGTGTGAGCTGGGGTCGCTAGAGAGCCCGATCAGCGTACAGAAGAGCAAGAATGGCAATAGACTTCCTCGGGCTCACTTGATATAACAAGCAGTGCACAAAAAAATTCACTTGATCAAGAGCACCCGAGAGTATATCAAATTAAATACATTTCATGTTTTGTCTTGCTTTAATAATTATACTTGCTGAAGTCCACAGTAAAAAAGGGAGTTATATTCTGTTCTCACACATTCTGGGGATTTTAAGTATAGGCCTACTACTGTGTGTGGATGCAAAGTAAATTTAAAAGCAGCATAATTTAAAACCAAGACAGCACAATAATCATCAAAATTTTCAAATGACATTTTCATATTGTCTTAAAACCAAAGGTCTAATTTTGCAGCTTGCTAATAGTATTAGACTCAATGGTACTTTATTTAAATGTCTTTTTTAAGCATTCTAAAATTGACCCACAGAAAGTAGATGTTTTTCTCATGCAGAAAGAAACATGTATGTGATTCACTGAATGTGTGACAATTTGTGAGTCAAAGTGAAACCTGTTGTGGTCTCATTTATTTAACTGGAACAAGATGTGGTTTCATTTGTTTGGTGGACAACTTCACTTGTGCAAGAGAGTTCGCATTATGTAGTTTGTGAGTGAAGGGTTTCTTTTCTTTTGCTGACATGAATATCATCGTCTGAATTCCACATCAAACAAAACTTGATTTATTTACCCAACATTCACTCAAATATTGTGCTCTGACTTAATTTCACCTTTAAAAATATGTGATACAGCAAACAAGACCATATTAACTACCTGTGTTAAAGAAGGCTTTCAGCCAATAAGAAGTTACATATTAAAACACATGTTGTGACTCCAACATAACCACTGCAAC